AAATTTGGAAGGGAGAGACCCATTTTGTGGCATTCAACTACCGTCAGAGTTTGGTTTTACCCAGAATTTTTGAAAACCGTGAATCTTTGTCCATCCAACAACTATTGAAACCATTCACATTTAGGTATCTAGATATTTTAATGGGTGGTTTTGCTAACGTTGACAACAAGTCACAGTGGGGCCCATTTGATCATTCAGCTTGTTCGGCTCAAGGATTGCAGCTTATTTGCAGCTCCAGCAGCAGCTATAATTTCTCTCTGCTAGCACTGTAGCAGCGGCTGTTTTTGGCTGTAACTTATCTTCTTCCCTGTCTATCCTTTACTTGCGCCCCCCCCACACACACACACACCACCACCATGGCCAAATCTGTTGCCACTGCAAGCCATAGTCCACTTTGCCAGGCACCCGTCCTCTACCTGTTAGTGAATGGCGAGCGCGTGGACATTGTGAGGGATATGCATGTGGACCCCGACAAACCACAAGTCCTCTCAAGTTCGTCCGCACCCACTTCACCGGCCAAAAGCTCTAGCTATAGCAAAGGCCCACCACCGCACCTCCCCTCCCCCTTGTTTTTAGGTAGTTTTTCTTTTGGGCTGTTTTGAACCCTTGGATCTCACCAATATATACAACCTTATATCAATCGATGTGAAAGGTTTCAACTCATTTTTTGTTAAATTTATCCATGCCATAATAGCCATCCTGCAGTATCAACTTTGATTCTCATAGCATTTTTTCCTAGATTGGATCCTCACTTTACTTAGGCAAATTGAGCTGGCGAGCTCAGGCCCATTTTACTGCAGGCAGATGTAGAGCTTTTGTGGTGTTGCTCTCCACCCATGACGTGGCGTCAAGTGCAGTGTCATATTTCTTGGACAATATTGTAAAATTGAATCACATGTAACAAAAAACCTACATGACGAGGTGGCGGAAGGTGGTCTTGGCGAGCGGGGTCATAGATGACGTTGGTGACAACGCCCTTGAGTAGTTACCAGTTGCATCACCAAAGTAGAGGGAGTTGAGCCAGGCGAGGACCTTGCCGTGGTAGACGTGTAGGACTTAAACATGGACCACACGCCCTAACATACGTTGCACGCGGATCACGCGACCCATCTTCTCTGGCCGCGGCGGCGTAGCAGGAGAAGGGTGTAGATATGAGTGTCTGTTAAGATAGGACACATTTCATGGATCACCTCAAGCATGCATAATACCAATAATATATTATTTTACAGTATATGATGGACACGCGTGACGAGCGAGTCCAACATCTTTGGCCTTTCATGGGTTGTTAGCTTCTTGGCTAGCTAGCTGTGTTTGAAGGCGAGCGAGTCCAACACTTGACCAAGCACCATCAGCATATGCATGTATCTATATATATATTATATATATACGTGCTTGCAAGAGGATCTTTGCATCATAGCCAAACACCATCCAAACCCAAGTTTCTCCATCGACTGACCAGCTACTTCTCCAATCGATCACTCGTCAGCCACCCATGCAGTCCGATCCACGGCACGCGATCGTCGTCACCACCATGGCACGCACTAGAGCTCTCCTCGTTGTCGCGGCGGCCCTAGCAGCGGCAGCGGCGGCGCTTGGGACGGCGCACGGCGCCAGCTACACAGTCGGCGCGCCGGCCGGGTCGTGGGACCTCCGGACCAACTATACCCTCTGGGCGTCCGGCGTCACCTTCCGCGCCGGCGACCAGCTGGTGTTCAAGTACCCGCGCGCGGCGCACAACGTGCTGGAGGTGAGCAGGGCGGACCACGACGCCTGCTCCAGCGCCAGCCCCCTCAACGCCTTCAGCACGGGCGACGACGTCGTCCCGCTCCCCGCCGGCGGCGTCACGCGATACTTCATCTGCGGCGTGCCCGGACACTGCGACAATGGCATGAAGTTCGCCGTCAGAGTCCAGGCAGGCGCCCCCGGCGCTGCTGCAGCTCCATCGCCGCCAGTGGCGACGGGCGCCGCCCCTCGTGCTGCGCTGCCGCCCATGAGCGCTGCCGGGGCACCCGCGGCGGCGATGCCTCCGGTGAGCTCCCCGGCGTCGGCTGGTGTTGATGGGTCTCTCGTGGGGCTCGTCTTGTCCGCTGTCGTGGCTAGTCTCATGGCATACTGCTGAAAGTAGTCAAGGCTCTAGCTTCCATTATCTTTTTTTTTTGTATGTGACACGTGATTCTACGTTTTGTTTATGTTGTGGTCGTATGATATGTACTTATTTAGAGATCATGATCTCATATATATACATTGGATTTATTCAAAAACACCTCCCTTTGTTTACCCAGCGTGCATATAACATTTTAATTTTGGCTATACAAAATGTTTCGCTGAAATGAGGAAGTTTCTTCCAAAAAAAAACATAAAGCATTTCCTCCGTTCGGTTTATTTTGGTTTTATAGATATATAGACTTTCCTATATATCTAGATATAGTATATATATATATATCCAGGTGCATAACAAAAACTATGTACTTAAAAAAAATTCAAAAACAGCTTGTAATATGGAACGGAGAGAGTACTAGCTTAGCATACAATTTTTTATCTACCACTACTAGGTTTTAATGACAATATCCAATGATAATACTTCTATCTGCTAAGAATACATTTAATTAGAATGATCCTTAGTAAAAATTTATAAGTTTGACATTTTTAATCTCAAATAGCCCTATATGGCGGTCACACACAGAGAACTTCTCATGGCTCTATCTTAGGTCCCGTTTGGTGGAGCTCTAGACGGATCTAGCTCCAGCTTTTCCATGCACTTTAGCAAGGAGCTATTTTTATCTCTTCTCCCAAAATAAACTAGGAATCGGTGAAGTCATGCGCTCCGGCTTCTCCATGTAGCAAGGAGCTAGAGCTGTTTTAAGCCGTGCTAAATAAAGCCTTAATAAATATACTACTATAACCATCTCAAAATAAATAGAAAGAATAACAACGTCTATGACACCAAATAAGCACATTATAAAGATATGTTTTATGATGTATTTATTGATACTAATTTGGTGTAAAAAATATTAGTGTTTTGTCTAGAAATTTCATAAATCTTGAAATAGTTTGACTTAAGACAACTGTACAAGCTAGCTTAATTTGAGACAGAGCGACTAGTAGTTAACCTCCCGACTTCATTTTAGAAGGAAAAAAGCATCCCTATAGTTCGCAACGGGGATGATGATTTTAATTTTTGATGGGCGCCGAATTTGACTTGTGTGTTTGTGATGACCCAAGAAAATGGTTTGACAACCCATCATTTATATTGGCTACGACTTTTGCACATCGGTAATGTTGCTTATAGGTCGTCCGTTCGTCTTGACGGGCCCCATATAAGTCGTGCGCTCGCTTTGCGCCTCGCACGTGCCGCCCCCGCCCGCGTCGTCTGCTCGCTCAGCGCGCTACGCGCCTCTGCTTCGGGATGGACCCCGCCCTCGGCCGCACCTCTCCTACTCGCGCCTCGCGGCCCTGCCCACGTCCCCGCCGCCCGCCCACGCCGCTTGCCTCCACCCGGACTCACACCTCCTGTCGCGGTCGCACTCCATCCGCCTGCCCCTGCCGAGATCTGTGCCGTTGATGAGCTTCGCACTGGCGACCTCCACGCCACTCTGTGGCATCGAGCTCCACGTCGACGAGCCTCCATTCGTCCAAGCAGCAAGGAGATGCTACACTGAAGGCGCATGTTGCAATAGTATGTTTCAAGTGTTTCACATGTTTCAGAGTATGTTGCAAGTGTTGTATATCGATGTTGCAAAAATAGATCGGGATGTTGCACATGTTGTAATGGCTATACACGTATGTTTCAAGTGCATGTTCCAAATGTTTCATCTGTTCCAGATGAATATTGCAAGTGTTTTATCTAGATGTTGCAAAAATAAATATGGATATTGCATATACATGCAAGGTGCAAGTATATGTTTCAAGTGTTTTCAGGAGTTTCATATGTATGTTTATTTCATCTGGATGTTGCATATGTTTACGAGTGTTTTATCTGGATGTTGCATATGTTTGCAATGGTTTTCAAATGTTTTTAGACGTTTTCGCAAGTGTTTCAGATGCTTGTTTTAAGTGTCTCATTTGTCTTCTTTCGTATGTTGCAATTGTTACATCTGGATGTTTCAAAAGTAGATCGGGTGTTGCACATGAGATGCGTGTGGGAAGCGGCTGACGGCGCGGACGACGTTTGGGGCGGCATGGGCGGCATGGGTGACGTCCAGGGCGGCACAGGTCCATTGCTGGTGCGCTTCTCTCGCGAGCCCGACGTGGTATGCGCTCTTTTGATCCCTCCGCGCGGCAGCTTCGGGACGCCCGGACTGACGTCTAAGCGCTAGCAAGTCCGTTTGCACATCAACCGCAGCTGCTGAATACGGTTAGATCATTGTAGGTATAATATACGGTGGGGCTAATTTTTGCACCCTAGTACCCTACGCTACTGCAAAGAAGACTCGTCCTCGCACCTCTCACACACCCACCACACAACACGAGGCACACGAGAGCGCGCACCCAAAAAAAAGAGAAAAGATATTGACTCAAGTCAACGAACAGAACAGTGGGAGCAAGTGAACATAGCTGAGTCAAAGGGATCAGAATGTGAACACCGCCGACGTCAACGTGGTAGCTGAAAGACAAGTTCCACAAATGGTAAATCAAATCTTCATCACATGAGACCAAGTCTTGTCTTTAATTAATCTATATATCCAGTGCACCATAGATGCTATCTGCTGTAATTTAATTATATGCCTACACTTGACCAAGTTAATAATCGAAGTCGTCCACACGTTTCATTATGCAAACGCGGATGATTAAGCTAAGCTAAGCTAAGCTAATAGACCATGTCATACGTTCACACGCTACACTCTATCTCCACCAGCTCCTCCATCAGACGATCACCCTCACCTTTATATATATATTCACCGTCAAATCCTTAATCCATCGCCTCTCAAGTGTCAACTCTCAGCTAGCTAATCACCTTCATTCAACTTCAACATCAGCTAACATCTCCTAGCTTGTCGAAGATGATGGAAAATGTTAGGGTACAGCCGTCTCTGCTCGCCATCACAATCATCATGACAGCGGCAGCAGCAGCGTTCGGAACGGCGTCCGGCGCCAGCTACACCGTCGGCGAGCCGGGGGGTTCATGGGACCTACGGACCAACCTGACCGCCTGGGCGTCCACCATCACCTTCCACCCGGGCGACCAGCTGGTGTTCAAGTACGACGCGTCGGCGCACGACGTCGTGGAGGTGACGCAGGCCGGGTACCGCTCCTGCTCGGCAGCGAGCCCCGTCTCCGCCGCGCTCCGGACCGGCAGCGACGCCGTCCGGCTCGACGGCGGCGCCAGCAGGAGGAGGCGATACTTCATCTGCAGCACGCCGGGGCACTGCGCCGCCGGGATGAAGCTGGAGGTCAGGGTCACGGACGACGACGCCGAGTGCACCAACAGGTTGCCGCCGCCGGGGCCAGCGCCGCCAGGTGCGCCGTCAGGCATCACCATCTGCTCGGGCGGACCGCCGGTAGTTATCATGACGCCTGGCGTTGTCTCCTACGGCGCAGCGCCGAGGTCATCCTCGGCCGGTCTCGGCAGTGTACTTGCCACCGTGGTCATGATGGTGTCGCTGCTGCTTGGCCTCGCAATTGTCTAGCTCGTCCATGCTGCAACAGAGCTTTTGCAATTCTCACAGCAACGTTGAACATAATGTGTCTGTTCCAAATGTTAGTGCCAGATGATTATCTCGTGTCAGAAAATTATTATTAGGACTTCTAAATATGTATATGACACGTAAATAATTTGATATTGCTGCTAGCTAGGAGAACTAGAACGCTCATTATTCTTCTTTTCTCCACAACAAATTTTCGTTGGTCTTATGTATAATGTTTTACTACCAACATAATGATTATTTCTACTACAAAATTTAAATTGATTCTTTTGTCAAAATGGAACCGACGAGAAACTCTAGTTAGAGAATTTGTTGTGGCTGGTGTATATATATTTGACCAACGTTAATTTATATGCATGTGTTCACACGAGTATTGTTTGGTTATTTTTTGTTTATGTCCAATGGTGATATCAATTTGAACCACCACCCCAGATCTAGACATCACTGTCGGATTTTGAACCGACAGTGGCATACCGGCAGTGATGGGGGGTTGACATCACTGCCGGTCCTTAAAAACCGACACTGATCTACAGGAAATAGTGTTGGTTCCTGGCTCCACCCGGCAGTGTCCAGTTGAACAACATTGCCGGTTTGTAGCACCAACCGACAATGCGGTTGCTTCAAGAGTGTCGGTTCTTGGTTCAAGCCAGCAGTGTTGAGCAAGCCTACAATGTCGGTTCATGAATCAAACCGGCAGTGTTGTAGTAAATATTAGTGTTGGTTCATGGATCAAACCGGCAGTGTTGTCATAACTATCAGTGTCGGTTCATGGTTCAAGCCGGTAGTGTTGAGCAAGCCAACACTGTCGGTTTGTTTCTAACCGGCAGTGATGGTTACGACAACACTGCCGGTTTGTTGCTAACCGGCGGTGATGGCCCGTTCGTAATTTATTGTTTTATAATTTATTTTTATTTATATTTTTTCGTGGAATCGGGTTTCGCTTTATATACGCTATGTAGACGACAGATCCATCAATATTAAACATTACAAATGTTACGATTACAATTCAAATGTTCTTATCCACATCTCGATCCCTCAAAATAAAAAAGAAATGTTCTTGACTTCACATATGCTTCTCGGACTTCTTACAATAATCTGGGGAGCCGCTCTGGGCAATACTGGTCCTTGTACTTCACGGATTGTGCAATGGAAAATACTCCATCTTTTTCCAATACCTCGGCTAAGATGAATTTTGCCAGCTCCGATTGCAGTGCGATGATCTCCATGTCTAACAACCTTTCGTGGTTATATTTCTTGCGCTGCCGTTCAAAAAAGATGATATCCAAAGAGAAACAGTAAATCATGTTGTTGAATTATTAACAGACATAAATAAAATGGGGATTATACACACTAACTTATCGGCATCTTCTGACTTCCCGCCGATGTAGCGAAGCATTGCCCATATTACATAAAACCCGCATTCATTGTTTCCCGCCGGCTGTGATAGGTACTTCCCCTCCATTTCGACAACCTTGAATGGGACCGGCGTCCCACCGATATGTCTTCTTTAGACACTGAGCAACATTAAAAGGAGAAACATTAGAAAGCAGTATGTGTGATTAGAAAATAATATGTTATTAGGATCGCTTACTAATTCAGCACTGCCACCGGTGCATCCAGATGATGAAATGGTTTTTTCTTCGAGTCCCACACCTCGAGCAGATTTTTGGCAAGATTAACACAAATGAAGATGAAATGGTTGCTACAATCACATAATCCTAATTATCGAATAATCTTAACGAAAAAAGAAGCATAAAATTAAAAGCCGAGAACACATACTCGCAGTTGTAGCTAGAATTATGTGGGTTTTCTTCTTCATCGTGAATTCATCGAAAACATCAATCAATCTCTGTTTCAGGTCTTCCACATCACATCCATAGAGGCCTAGACATGTCCTCTCATTGACTCGCATGGGGTCCAAGAAGCCTATGTAATCCCATTTGCTTTATAGAATGCAAAATTTTGCTATACACCTACATAAAATCATGGGAAGTGATTAAAAGTTAACAATTTGTGTCTCGAGAGAGTAGTTAATTGTAAAATGGTGCGTGTAGGTACTTACATAGTCCACACATCAACATTTGAACATCGAGAGAGCGTTTCTGGTATAGCTGGAACAAGCACTCCCACTCGACATCGAACTTCTCTTCTTCAGGATAATGGAAAACATGTGGCGAACGGATAATAACCTCAAAACCAAAGTCGTCCGTCTCTGTTGCTTGAGCCATGTAATATTCATGTAACTGGCGCATATATGTTGTCAGATTTTTATACTCATGATCGGAAACCAAAAGATTGCCCCTTTCATACTTCATTGCCGGTGTTGCCGTCCCTTGTACATCATAATAGATGGTCGTGGCCTCTTCCATGGTTAATCCTGGGTTGTCTTCGACGTACTTCTATATGTTCCTTAAATCTTTATTGTGTATTTCTTCGTCTCTTGTTGTAGCGTATTTATTCTGTGTTTGCCTTTCGAATTCGGACTTCAACAAAAACGAAGGCAGTGAGGCACAGAGATTTAAGAAACTAACACAATCTTCCTTTGAGATGTGTGCTGTAAATTTTTCTTTCATCAAGGTGGTAACACTGCCACTGAACGGTCTTTTTCTTTTCTGTTGGTCCACTTTGGGAGCATTAGCGACCGAATCCAAGGACCTTTTCTGTGACTACGAGGATGTCCTTGATCTTATTTTGGGCTGAGGTGGAGGAGGAGGATGATGACGAGAATTCTGTTTTCCCGACGCTAATAAAGATGGAGGAGTAGGAGGAGGAGGAGGAGTCTCTTTTCTCGGAGCTGATGAAGATGGAGTTGGATGAGGAGGAATAGAAGGAGACCTTTGTCTTCTCGGGGATGATGCCTCCGGATGAGGAGGGGAGTGATCTCTATTGGGATATGGTGAGTGATCATCGCGGGTGGGCGAAGACTCGCAGTCATCCTCATCATCAGAGGACAATTGATGGTCAAGCTTAATGAAGCGCTTGCGCCAGGCCACTTGAGAGCCCTTGTTTTGACCAAGTTTCGGCCTGTCTTCCGCTACGGGGTACTCAATAGGTATCTTGTTATACATCTTATCAAGTATTCTATCAATGGTGACACGAGCGTACCCCAATGGAATTGGGCGGCCATTAATTGTCCCGTCTCCCACAGGCCAGGCTTGGCCGACCGCCACATTGTCCTTTGTCCATTCCTGACGGATGTACAACCTGACATTGACGGGTTCAGTGATGTCGTCCACCAGATGAGGCAAATTCGCCTCTTCTTCGTCGAGCGGGGTTGATCCGCAGCTGCTGCGACCCCTAAACTGTGGGCTAAAGGCACTAGGAGTAGGGTTTTGTGGTACTACTTATCCCTTGGACAGCAAAATTTGCTCGACTCGTGCTTCAACGGTCGCCTCAATCCGTGCTTCCATTCTGTCTTCCATCTCTTTTAGTCTCCTCAAATACTCTGCCTCATGTTCCGCTCTACTCCTCGAGCAGCTCTGGTAAGTGTTAGATTCTTCGGGGAATGCTAGTTTCCAAGGAACAACACTGGTTCCTCTAGTGCGACCAGGGTGCTCCTTGGTTCCGAGTGCTTGGGTGAGCACGACTTTCTCCCTATTAGAAGTGCGAGTCCCTTGCCTCACCTCCTCAGTTACCTGGGAGATCCTCTAGATGAGTTCGCTCATGGGTTGATTTGAGGAGCTAAAGCTCCCGTCCTCGGCGTGCCGTACATTTCTCCCCATACAGTATAATACCGATCTAGGCTCCCAATCGACGGTCTTAACCTGAACGCCTTCCTCAGCAAGGCGATCCATCTTTTGAAGTTCTGCTTCAAATTCTGGCATCTTTTTGGCGTAGCCACGAGAGCCGAGATGATGAGGATCCGTCGCTTTCTGTGAATTCCCCTTCTTCCTGCTCAGTTCTAAGTACTCCTCGGATAACCTGTATTCCTTGAAATCCTGCCAGAAGTACTTCTGCTTGCTAAACTGTCCACCATCAAAATCCGGCTCTTTATTTTGGAGGACAAAATTCTTGTACAATGTCCCCTTGAAATTCTTGAAGCATGTCCCCATGATTTCTTTTGCTTTTTTCTTGACTAACTCCCTGTCATACTCGGCTGGGAAAGTGAAATACTCTGGGATCTTGACATTCCATATGTAATCCTTCTCGCTTTCAGGAACCCTCCAACGGTCATCATCTTTCCCAATCCACTTTCTATACTTAATCGGGATGAAGTCCCTAACCAGTAACCCGAGGATAGTCTTGTATTTGGTCAAAGCTACAGGCGGTGAGAGTGGATCCCCGAATTCATCGAACTCAGTAATGTGCTAGTGTGCATTCTTACCAACAGGAATCTTTGACACGCCTCGCTTGGATCTGGCCTTCCTGCTACCCGAACCCTCTGGCTCCTCGACCGGCGGAGGCTCCTGCTAGAGACACAAAGTAAGCTATGACCCTCTCAATTGATTAGCATGTGTGGCTACATAGTGACATGATACCAAAGTTACCTGGCCATCTTGGTCATTTTGACCCAGATCGAGCAGGCCGGACGGGGTCCATGGCTGCTCGTTCTCACCGACCTGATTGACACCGTCACCGTTTGTTGGATCATGCGGCTCTCTCGTCCCAGCGATATCAGTCGCTTCTTGTTGCCGATCAGTTCTTCGGCGACGGGGTAACAGGCGACGATGAGTCATGGCTGTGACACGATCGTGGTTAGTTTTGGCTACGGACAACTACTAATAGCATATGTTCATATATATAATATGTTTAATGCAAAGTCTAATAATAAGTCTACATACAACAAAGTCAAATAATAGCATATGTTCACCTAGAACAAATTCATTGTTTGATTGACCACATACAACAAAGTCCACCTACTCTTCTACGAAACTAAGCCTACATCAACTTCCAAATAAGAAAAGCGATGACCATAGCCATAAATAAAAGCATGACATGCATCTTTCCAAGACCAAGGAGCAATTCTCCTAATCTTCACATCTCTA